GTCAGCCATACTAGGAAGTAATGTTTGTGATACATCAAGAACACAATAAAACTGCCAATTTTTTCTATTTAAAGCAATCCTCGGAGAGTTTAGGTGATGAGCTAGCAAAATGAGAGGCCATTAATTACATTCCTGGGTAATTTTGATTCAAAAGGGATCATTTTGCTTTTCCTAACTGAGAGTAAATCATTTATTATAGATGAAGGAGTGTAATTTTGGAGCTGGGTGAGATATAAGGTAACAATACTGAGTAGAAGCAATTATGTAGATGTTCTGGTCCACAGCAGATTATTATCAGCTAGTGAAAATATGCCTGTTTCATCCATGGGGCATTCTTAATAAGGAAAGACTGTTTTTGAATTATTTAGTTCATATTTCACACTGTCAAGTAGATTTCCTTTTGGCTTCGATAAAATAATTCTGTAATTGTTGTTCCGCAATGGAAATAGCTGCCTGGTAGGTAGTGAGTTCCCCATCATGAGATATTTAAGCAGGCCCAGGAGCAACACTGGAAATATTGAATGAGTAAATTCTTTTTAATTAGTCTACAGATAAGGATTTGACTAGGAATATTTCAGAGGTAACTTATTTAATGGATACCTGTTGGCCCCTTCTCGTGGGCCAGGCAATATAGATTGGAACTTTGGGGAGGTCGTGGCCCTGTCTTCAAGCACAACACAGTCCAGTAGTGCTTTTAACTCTGAGGTTCTACAAATTCATCCTAATGAAATTTATGTTTCCACCTTTTCAATATTTTCTTGGGTCTCAAGTTTTTAAATAACACTTTTGTTCGTGTGTTTTAAACATAGAGAGGAATATAAGAGGGTAGCTTCCCATCGTCTTTCTGGTATCAGTTGGCCGCTGCTGTAAAACAAACAAGAGGCTTTGAACAACAAACATTTATTACGAGGGTCAACTGAGGTCAGCTGAACCAGGCCGCATTGGAGTCACGTGCCTACAGGTTGGCTGGGGCAGCTCCAGGTGGCATCTAGATCAAGCATGAGGAGAGCGCCTGGAAGTCTCCGAGATGTCCTCCCCTCCGAACCAGACGAGAACTGTAGGGCCCGCACAGGACAGCCATGGGGCATGCGCCTAGGACCTCACTCCCGGCCCCTCCCCACTGCCAGAGAGAGAGGATGTGAGCCAGTAAGGAGATGCCACGTCTCCCTGGCCCGCAGGGACGTGTGGAAGCAATGACAGGGTTGAGTAAGGTTCCTCTGCCCTGGAACTGAGAGGGCGAGCAACGCCCTGTCATCACGAGAGAGCCCCTGCCTCCCCTGCTGTCCAGCCAGCCCGCAAGGGGGAGACAACCGTGCCCCCTCCACGGCCTCAGAAGGGCCCATAGCAGCTCAGCCTCAGCCCGGCGCTGACAGAAAAAATGACAAGGAGCCCCAGAGCCTAAGGGAGCCATGGAACCCTGACGAAGAAAATATGAAACATTCAGAACAGACCTTTACTGAAATGGACAGCTTCAACAAGGACGGGTGAGAAGACAACTTAGATGCATGTGTAATATGCATGTGTACACACATTCTGTACACCCACACTCACACACACATGCATGCCCATACATTCACACACCCATACATTCACACAAACACACACACCCATACATTCACACAAACACACACACATACATTCACACACACCCACACCCATACATTCACACAAACACACACACCCATACATTCACACACACACATACCCATACATTCACACACACACATACCCATACATTCACACACACTCACACTCACACAAACACACACACACACACACATTCCTGGAACTAAAAATATAATTTAAAACAAAAAATCAGTAGATGAGATAAAATTCAAACTGGTGAGACCCAAGTTAGTGACCCAGAACATCCAGTGAAAGAAATCTCTGAGAGCAGAGCAATAATTCAATAGGTTAGAAATGATGAGAGGAAAAGATGGAGAGTTAGCTGCTAAATCCTGGAGACCTAACATGAGAACAATCGATTGCAAAAGGAGAGAAAGAGACAGATGGGAAAGCAACAGTAATTATACAAATCAAAAAAGAAACTATCCCAAGCAGTAGACAGCTCTGAACCTAGTTTCAAATTGATTTGGAGAAAAGCCTCAGATCTTTTACAAAATTCCAGAATAAAGTATTAGAAAAGAAATAAATGTCCTAAATTCACACCACCAGATAACACCTACTACATTTTTGAAAATAGAAATAATGTGTGTACAGGAAAAACCAGAAAATCCAATGGTTCATAAACAGTGAAAGGAAAAGGAAAAGTCTTCCTCCATCCCCTGCATTTCCCTCCCAGGCTTTCTGCAAAAGGTAATCGCTATTAACGGTTCCCTGCGACTTCTCACTGCCCCCAAGTCTATGCATACACCAACACATATATCTATATAGATGCTTGCTTTTATTTATTTATATTAATAAAAATTCTTGCATATCATCATATGCCAATTTTTTTTAATATTGTAAGATAATATGGACATGATGTCATTTTCCAACAGACCCTCTACAGGGAAATTTCAAGCAATGAAATTACCAGGTCAAAGGCACTTGCATTTTTATTGATTAAAGACCTTAAAATACTCCTGGTACATAGTAGGCTCTCAGGAAATATTTTTAAACAAACTAAAATGGTCATGTTGTTCACCATAAGGGTAGAATTAACATATATTCCATATGTAAGACTTTTAAAGTCATTATAGTTTGTAGAATGGTAACGCCCCCAAAAAGATATGTCCGTGTCCTGATGCCCAGAAACTGTGAACATGATCTTACTGGGAAAAGTCTTTGCAGCTGTGATTAAGTTAAGGCAGTGGAAATGAGGAGATCATCCTGGATTACCCAGGGGGCCTCTCTAGCCAGTAACAAATGTCCCCTGTAAGGCAGAAGGAAATGTGAGAGACACATTGAGGAGAAAGTGATGTGAAAGGCAAAGACTGGAGGGGGGCAGCCACAAGCCCAGGAACGCGGGGCAGCCACCAGAAGCTGCAAGGTCCAATAGCCAGTTCTCCCCTAGAGCTTCCCGAGGGAGTGTCCCTGCCAAAATTTCATTTCAGAACTCCAGCTTCCAGAACTATAAGAGAATTCATTGCTATTGTTTAAGCCACCAAGTCGGTGCTATTTGGTTATGGCAGCCTCAGGAAATGAACACAGTCATTAGTATTAAATTAGAGCCTGGTAGTAAAACAGAAAAGAGCACCTAGAGTTTGGAGGCAAATCGATTATGAACCAAAAGATAGGTCAAATTCCAGGGTCCTGCCCCTGAGAGCAGCCTCTTGGCTTCCTCCCAAACCCCCTGTGGTCCCCAGCATATACATTCTCTCGTGGCCAGACCTGAAACTGAGACCCAAAACAACTAACAAAGGAAAGCGAACACAACTTACCAATTTTTCTTGGTTTTGGCACAGGTACATGCAATACTAATTGATCCAACCAAGACTTCGAGAAGGAGGTTTATAAATGCTTTGGGGTTTTTCTTAAAAGCTCAGGTGGTGGCAGATGGAGACTCACACGCCTACATCCATCTAATCGTAACTGATCCAGCGAGAGACTTTCTGAAGAGGGGAGAGCACTTTCCCAGTCTTTAGTCTCTCCTGATGAAGAATTATCATGGCATCTGGAACAGGGCAGCATACTCCTTTCACAAAGTGCTGAAGCTAATTACCAACCAATTCCAGCACAGACGGGCTTAGAACCCTGCAGTGGCCCTCTCTGGGTTCCAAGCCCCTCACTGGCCAGTTTTGACTTAATGAAACTAATCCTGTTTTACTCTTAGATAATGCTTAGTTTTAAAAGCATTGCCAAATATAGACTCTCAATTCTTTTATGTTGTTGCTCACACAAAACAATGAGAGAGAAAAATGGGGCAGGGGGGATTGTATATGTTGTGTACATAGTCTAGAAGAAGAAAGCTGACCTTCAAAGAGGCAACACCCCTTGTCCATGTTCCCGACTTCAAATCCACTGATGTCCCCAACTTTAAATCCACCGATGTTCCCCACACCATTATGCCCCTAAGGACTGACCCACCTGAGCCAGACATAAATGAAAAATGAGCCTGTTTATGTCCAGGTGCTCTCTCTTCTTAGAAGGGGGACTGAAAGGGAATCATCTGTGTGCACACATGCAAAGGGGCATCAGCATCCAGGCATTTCTGACCATCCAAGCTCCCATTATCCTCAAACTCATTGCTCCTGGTGTGTTTTACTTTGAATAAGATTCATTAAAGAAATTATCCAAGTTGAATTGTATTTTAGGTTAAATGTGGATCCAGCCTCTACTGTCTTTCGATACCAGGGAGGCAGATCATCAGAGAGCTCGTGTGTACTTAAAAACGTATTTGTCTAAGTGCATAGCGTTCAAAAGCCTGGATGCCTACCTTTCCTTGGCAAGTCATCAATAATAATAAAGTTCCAGGATTCGTTCTCCATAATGCTACAAAAAGCAAATTAAAAGCAAGATCAATTGTGCTTTTTGAAAATGCTGAAAAAATTCTTTGGGTTTTTTTTGTGACTGCTAGAAACCAAAAAAGTTCTTCTCTAAAGATAATTCCCATTTCTTTTTCTTGAGTCATAGGTGTAATAAGCAATTTGAATTAAATAGTGACCAAATTAATTCTAATTTGAATTAAAGGCGAGAGGTCTTCATTTACATATTCAAATTCATTTATTCACTAAATATGGATGGGGTTCCCACTCTGTGCCAAGCGTGTGCTGGGGCGCTAGGAGGGAGCAAAACAGTCTCCAGTCGTGACAAGCACACCTTCCGCGGGGCAGTCAGGCCGTGAACATGCATCGATTTAGTCTAGTTTTCAGCAAAGCACATTTAGAGACTCAGGGCCGGCCAGTCCTGCCCCCACCCAGACGCCCCGCACTGGAGGATTACAGAAAGCGACAAACATAGCAGCTGGCCTCACATCTGCAATTCAGTTAGGTAGCCAGGAAAACATGCATGAGAGGGACAGACGCCAAAAGCAGCAATCATTCGGAGACACAGGGACGCTAGTCCTGCGTGGGGATTTTTAAGGACACGGACTCCCGAGAAGGGCGGGCCTCCGGGAGGGTGCGTGTGCTCGCCGAGGCCGCCTCCCGCTGCCACCTTCTCGCGCCTGTTCTGCTGTTAAATTCATACATGTTCCCGGAGACTGTGGGGAGAACGCAGAACACAGAGGAGGTAAATTCTAATGAACTCACAAAGCATTTCTTCATCCCACCAAGTGCGTATTGAGCATTTGCTTATAGCCAGCGTAGTGACACACTGCTTGTCTTTTCAGGCCTCGCTCTGGTACCGAAGGGGCATGAGAAGCGGAGCTGGAAGCAGCGTGTGAATTCACATGCACTGAAAACTGCCCCTTAGCACTAGAGGGCTCTTCCGTGTGCAGGGATGTTTCTCATCTTGACCATGGTTGTGGCCATATGAATCTATATGTGATTAAATGTCATAGAACTATTCACGCAGACATCATAAATATAATAATAATAACAGCAATACATAATAGCTTACTCCTATAGTATTTACCGGACTCTGTTTTCCTATATTAATCTATTTAATCCACTCACATCCTTGTGACATACATACATATTATGAGCCACATTTTAGAGATGGGGAAATGGGGAAACTGGGCACAGAGATGTGATTAGACTTCCTGAATAAACCAATGCTGTATGCATCACATTCTGGGTCCCACAGAATATTAGATAAATGACCGTATGTCCAATCATATATAGCAAAACTTATTTTTATTTTAAAATAGTTCTCTTCTCTGTCATGTAACACTTTGATGTGCTGAGTCAGTATCAAAAATCCATTCATGCCCGGCCGGGCATGGCTCAGCGGTTGAGCGTTGACCTAGGATCCAGGCGATTGGGGTTCGATTCCCGGTCAGGGCACATGCCCGGGTTGCGGGCTTGATCAATGACTCTCTCATCATTGATGTTTCTATCTCTCTCTCTCCTTCTTTCCTCTCTCTGAAATCAATAAAGATATATTTAAAAAAAAAAAAAATCCATTCATTAAAGATGCTTCTTCTTCCTCCAGGGCCACTGTGCCAGGGTGGACAATGCACGTCCCTGACGAACACCTCCCTGCACNATTCATTAAAGATGCTTCTTCTTCCGCCAGGGCCACTGTGCCAGGGTGGACAATGCACGTCCCTGACGAACACCTCCCTGCACCAAAAACATCTGTCCCATCACTCAGCAGTGCATGTTGGAACTTGAAGACCAGTGGCTGAGCAGTTGCACATCAAATATCCAATTTCAAAATAAGCCGACACAACAACTATGTCCTCAGTATTGAGAAGACCAAAGACAATGAGTATCAGTCAAATTCTGAACAGAGTAAAAGTGACCACAATAGTTCATTATCTTCATTAGACCACACTGACATGTTTTGCTGTTCTGCAGAATGGAGCAACCCAGGGCCCAGGGTGTGTCAAGGTGCTGGGTCTTCCCAGGCCATTGGTAGGAAGCCATGGCTAGTGTTAGGATGAGGGTTCGTGTCAGACTGACTAGCTTTTGATCTTGACTCTTTCCCTCACTAAACTGTAATTCTGGGGAAGTAACCTTGTCTCTCTGTGCCTCAGTGTTCCCATTTGTAAAACTGAGCACATTAATAACAGCCACTATCTCAGAAATAGTTAGGAAAATGAAGAATTCACGTAAAAGCATTTTCACCATACTAAGAATTCAACAAATATATGCTATGGTTTGATATTAAAAAATGTCCTAATAACATCTTGTAATAAGTCTGCACCTGCATAGTCAAACATAAAGTCTTTCAGTATACAAGAAATAATGTTAAAATTAAGTAGGTGATATTGCTGCATTCATAGCCAAAAGGTAGACCTAATCCATATGTCCGTTGCTGGATGAGTGGATATGCAGAATGTGGTAAACCCTTCACATTATTCAGCCTTAATAAGGAAGGAAACTGGCACACTCTACAACATGGATGAACGCTGAAGATGCTGTGCTTAGTAAAATAAAGCAGTCATGGAAGGATAAATATTATATGATTCCCCTTACAGGAAGTACCTAGAGTAGTAAATTCATAGAGACAGAAAACAGAATGGTGGTTTTCAGGGGCAGAGGGAGGAAGGGAATGAGGTTAGTGTTTTGCGGGTACAGAGTTTCAGCTGGGGAAGTTGAAAACTTCTGGAGCTAGATGGGGGTAATGGTTGCACAGCAATATGAATGTGCTTAATGCCACAGAACTGTACAATTTAAAATAGCTAAAATGCTAAATTTTATTTTATGCATAATTAACACAATAAAAAATTAAATAGATTAATAATTATAAAGTGCTCTGAATAAGCATGCTACATTGCAAGTACTAAATAGGTGTTTATTAAATACACATTTTCAAAAATTTTAGAGGAAGGCAAAAAATATCAAATGCAGTTTTTATTATTTTCAATACTAATAGTTAAGTAGAAAAGGAAGCAGGAGAAGATCCTGAAGGTCTGCTGCAGGCCACTCTGCGATTCTTCCACCAGAAGGTCCAGTACAAGACATGCCACCCGCTGCGGGCACACGACAGTCTCCTCGCTGCTCTGTAGCCAAGCACCTACCTGCCTCCTCCCCGTCTGCTTCTGTCCTATCTCAATTAAGATTTAGTCTCTGTTCTAAAGAGCTCCACCAACTCTTTTGCTTCCTTTCCTTGAAAGCCATGTGATCTTAAATATATGCTGTGACCTCTCTGAGACTCTTTTTCATGTCAATAAAATAGGGACCATGATGGCACTTCATTATAAGGTTGTTGCGAGGATTAAATGGGATAAGGCATGTTGGACATAGAAGCACTCAAAGTTTACGCATGCTTTTAAAGAATTCCTGGTAATTGGAGCTCCTAAAAGCCCAGTTATTTTATAGTTAAATTATAGAACAATCAACCTGGATAGCCATCTGAAGACTAGCTGAACAGAAGTTCAACAAAACGAAAAGACAGCCCACTGAATGGGAGAATATATTCGCCAATGATACATCTGATAACGGATTAATATCTAAAATTTACAAAAACTAATACAACTCAAAACCAAAACAAAACAATCCAAAGAGGACATTTGAGTGGCCAATAGACATATGAAAAGATACTCAACATCACCCATTATCAGAGAAATGTAAATTAAAACCACAATGATGTATCCCCTCACGTGTCAGAATGGCTATCATCAATCAATCAACAAACAAGTGTTGATGAGTGGTGGAAAAAAAGGGCACCTTTGTGCACTGCTGGTGAGATTGCAAATTGATGTAGCCACTATGAAGGTATAGAGGTTTCTCAAAAAATTAAAAATAGAACTATCTTATGACCCAGAAATTCCACTTCTGGGTATATATCCAAAGAAATCCAAAATATTCATTTGAAAAGATATATGCACCCCTATGATCACTGCAGTGTTATGTACAACAATGTAGATATGGAAGCGATCCAAGTTCCATCAATAGATGAGTGGATAAAGAAGCTGTGGTAAATGTATACACTGGAATGTTCCTCGACCATAAAAAGGAATGAAATCTTACCATTTGTGACAACATGGATGGACCTAGAGGGTATTATGTTAAGTGAAATAAGTCAGATAGGGAAAGACAAATACCACATGACTTCACATATATGTGATCTAAAGAACAAAAGAAATGAACAAACAAAACAAAAACAGTCTCAGATACAGAGAACAAACTGAGGGTTGCCAGATGGGAGGGGGATTGGGGAGCTGGGTGAAAAAGGTGAAGGGATTAAGGAGTACAAATTGGTAGTTACAGAGCAGTCACTGGGATGTAAAGGACAGCATGGGGTATATAGTCAATAATACTGTAATAACTATGTATGGTGCCAAATGGGTACTTGAATTATCAAGGGGATCGCTTTGTAAAGTTCATAATTGTCTAACCACTATGCTGTACACCTGAAACTAATATAAAATAATATTGAATGTCAACTGTAATTATTTTTTTTAATTTTTAAAGAGTTAGTGGGACCCACCTGAGCCCAACCATGCAACCACCCCCACCAAGTTGTCAGTCCTGTGATTAAGCCATTTTGGACCCACCAGACCAGACACCAGACCAGACAAATGCCGCTGAATATCAGTGAAGTTCCTCTTAATACAAAAGCCAATGAATTGCCCAGGTGACACCTGCACAAGTTCTTGGCCCACAAAATTTTGCAATGTAATAAAATGGTGGTTATTCTAAGCCAGTAAGTCTTGGGGTAGTTTACACAACAACAGTAACCAGGAGGAAAAATGCATTTTATTTGGCCTACAAAATGGAGTTTGTTTTCATTGAATTACTTACCTGCATTTTAAAAAATGGGCAGATTTCATGTAATAATTTAGATTTGCGTCTTCTTTTTAAGCATCATAATTCTGGCAACTCCAGGCCTATTCCCAATGTGGCAAGAATTTGATGGAGCCCAGTAACAGCCATGGCTCCCAAGCATCAGTTACCATTGATGATTGAATTGTCCTATATGGTACATTTTGGTCATTAATTTTACCTGCTTTGAATGCTCTGCATTAGGACAGAGTCTCATGATGCAAAGCATAATGAATAAATAATTCATTCACACAGTTTAGCATCCAAATAGGCAAAACGGGCTTAACTCAAAGATATTTCAGCACCGTACCTGGATCAATGGCCTCTCCATCAAATACGGTTTCATACACTATGGTTTCCTTTAAAAAAAAACAACACCACAAAATATTAGCAATAAGGTCAGCTTGATAAAATTAATTTTGACAAGTGTTGCATACTTTGAGCAGGTGGCTTCTTAAAAATGGCCTCAATTTTCTTATGTAGAGAGCTAGCAGCCTTGGTTCAAAAACGTCCTGCTATTCTTGTCTCCGCCCAGCCCCAGCTCGGGCCCCACAGCCGCCTGCCCACCGCGCCCTCCGTCAGCTCAGATCTCGCTATTGATTCCAAGTCTCTTATCGTCAATGGGGAGTGCGCTGGGCTGACTGTGTTCCCTCGAGCTTCACATGCTGAAGCCCTAACCCCAGTACCTCGGCCTGTGACCATATTTAAGATCGGGCCTGTAAGTGGGTGACTGAGGTAAAACCAGGTCAGATGGGTGGGCCTTAATCTAATCTGAGTGGTGTCGCTATCAAACAAGAGATTAGGACACAGTCCAAACATATGAGAAATGAACTTGCGAGGACACCGAGCGAAGGCAGTTATGTGCAAGCCAAGGAGAGAGACCTCAGAAGACACCAGACCTGCCGACGCTTCCCCTGAGACTTCTGACCTCTAGAACCGGGATTTAAAAGCCTGCCGTTTAAGCCACCCAGCCTGCACGGGCTTGTTCTGCCAGCCCCAGCTCACTAATACAGGTGATGGGCTGGCATCCGTTTCGTCAAAGAAGAGGAGGGGGAAGAGAGCCCTGGGGGAAACCAGCTCATGCAACAACGTCACGGTCGTTCGGGGTGCAGAGAGGAATGCTCGTTGTCAAAGGGGCAGCACGTGGAGCAGGGAAACGGGAGATGGAGACTGAAAATGCCTTTTCTTACCCTGCCCCGAATTGCTATCCCTGGAACAGCCTTACCCCTGGTACAGATGTTCACGTGGATCCGTTAATGGATGAGCCTTAGCCAATTTAAAGATTCCAACACCCCAGGGTATATATTTTACTATCTGCTGAGAAACTCCAGGGTTGGAGGCTTATTCAGCTTTATCACATAGCTAACCTATTTTCAAATCTAGATCCCCGCCTCTTTTTGTGCACTTATTTATCTGATACCACCTTGCGGTGCCAAAGTAGATCTTATTTTTAAGTAATGGTAAATAACGCTTATTTCCATTTGTCTAGAGTTATTTTTGTTGAATACAATATTTGTGGCAAAAATTGACCTAAGTGAGATTCTAAGACTAGATCTGAAATCCCAGTCTTGTAATACACAGAAGTTCAACAGAAGCAGATAAATTGAAATAACTTTATTCCCTTTCTGTGATGCCTGAGTAGATTTACCGTATGTTTGCGTGGAAGAACTCTCTACTGAACAATAATTATAGAGAAAATCTAGTCTTCTTCTACTACAGAGGGGTCATAAAAATGTACTTACTGTTAACACTTCTAGTTTTTTATTTCTGTTTTCCATGACAGTATTTTCCGTTTGATTTCTATCTCCTATTCAATAAATACATAAGCAAACAAATTAAAAAATAAATGGCAGGTATCTGACGAGTGGCTTTTTAAATCACACAATTCATAATCATCAGGTGACAATTAGCAATCTGTATCTTACCTGCAATATACTTTATTCCCCTGTATGAAAAGAAAATTTGACAAAATATCAGCGTCATTATGCTATCACATGCCAAAAAAAAAATCAGTTTTTGCAGCACATGACTATTATTACATCTCTCTAATTCCCAATTTTTAAAAAACTTATTTATGGTGAATAATAAACTAATCTCATTAACCATCACTGCCTCCCATCCCTGAATCATAAATTATCCCTGCTTAGTTAATAAAACCCCATAATCAACTCTATTTTTGAGGCCATGGCGAACTATTTTTGGATGGCGATGGAAGCTTTTTCTCCCCATTTCTTTGGCATCAGCCCAGCCTCACGTAGATTCAAAGCAAGTGTGGAGAGGTCCCCGGAGGTTGTCAGACACCCGCCAGGGAACTGCTTGGCTCAAAATAATATGGGACTTGTTTGGCTTGTCTGCTCACAAATTGATTTGTTTAAAATCTAGTCTCACAGAAAATGTGTTTCAGAGGTTCTAAGGCAGAACCCAGACATACAGTCTTTCTGTTTTTTAAACAGCAGGTTTGGAGCCCTGGATGGGACCATCCTGTTTTGTTTCCCAAGTAGATCCCTCTGCACCCTCAAGAGCAGGGAGGCAGAAGCCCTCAGTGCAAGGTGACCAGGCCTCAGGGATTTCAGCTCCTTACATCAGAAGCTTAGAAAGAAACATCTCGTACTTGGGTTTGGGCTTGGAGACTTCCTTGGCCGTTTTCCGACAGCATCCCATAGTGTTTCCGTATCTCCAAAGCAGGAAACACACCCAGGAAACCAGCCCGGCAAAGAAAACAGCCATCAGAGTGAAGATGAAAGGAATGGACCAGTCACTGGATGTGTACGTGTTGATGGCTGTGTACACAATGGTCAGGCCTTTTCTTTGCTGGGAAATATTATTTCAAAACAAACAGAGCATTAGCTTATGTTTTCAAAGAGCATCTGTCTACAAATAGCATCAGTAGAGAGCTGTGGCCCTATACAGACGGGGGGGGGGCATTAACTCAGATTATGAATTTTTGTAAAAACCACAGGCAATATGAGGAACACCCAAACCCAGAGAAGGCACCAATTTAAGCATCTGAAGACTTGAATTGTATGTAATCACTGCAGTGACTGCTCTGCAAACTTGAACAAAAACACTTCTCCTCTCGGCTTCAGTTTTCCCATCTGGAAAATCAAGGGTTGAACTAGATGGTATCTGAGGATTTTTTAGGCTCGTATGCCTCTATTATCTACTCTACACAGGATAAACTCTTTTGTGCAGCTTGAGAGAACAGTGTGTTTTTGAAAATCAAATATTCCGGTGGAAAGACTTATCACATACGTTGTAAAAAAATGACTCTATTTCAAAGGACAGAAGACAATAAAATACCATTCTGGAGTCCAACTGAGGCCTTGCCCATCTGTTTTGGAAATAGCAGAATATTAAAGGACCTGCTAAACTTCACAGGACTGGACCAAACATTAGATGAAATGACGAATATCAGCCATGTAGTAGAGTCCCTGGCACATGGTAGGTGCCATGACTATGAATAGTATGATCGCTGGGGAATAAAAGCGCTCATTTGTGGAGATACTGAACTGACAGATTTCATTAACCAGGGGGCCTTTCTGGAGGTCAGGACTTGCAGACCATTCAGACAAAATCAGTTCCTTGGGAGCCCGCTGTGCCCCACCCGCAGTCATCCCTCCTCTCAGCAGGCTTGCACGCACAGCTGCGCGCTCTAAAACGTGGCCTGGGGGGGGGGGCGAGTGGAAAGGCCCGTGGGCCAAGGTGATGCCCTAAGTAGCCTTTCAGCCTTTCCAGATGAAACTTGAATTTACAAGAGAGTATTTCCCACAGGGGCCCCAATTAAATTCCATAGCTCCTTACTTCAGAACTGGTGGTTGGAGGAGGCGGCACGTTGGCCCTTGTCACATAAATGTCTAAAACAGCAGTGCCTGTCCTGGGCTTGGTGGCTTTGCCGTCTCTCAGGTTGTCGTCGATGATGTGGACCAGAAGATGGTGCTGCGGCTGCAATTCAGCTCCGGATTCGAAGTGAAAAGGATTCCTCACAATTAACTTTGGAGTATTTGAGCCTCGAGTTGGGTCAAATCCAAAATGATTGTTCTCATTTCCTTTAAAAGGGATAATTTAAAATTTATAATTACTTTAAGATACGTTAAAAGCTCTTCTCAAGCTGCCATACATAGCTTTTGAAACACAATAGGTGTAAATAAATAAACTTTCTATTGTTCTATGAATTCCTACGTCTATACAAGGCCTATAATAAATTTAAATAAAGTAATAATTCAGCTGGTTAGAAAAAAATTGTTTTAAAGGTCAAGATCATGAGTCTTATTTCCATATAAGGTCAGCAAGCATCAGACTATTATCAAATTATTCTGCCTTCGTTGCTTCCCCTTCCTTTATCTCCCTCTCAGAGAAACTTAATTTCCACCTTCAGCTTTGTCTAGACCAGTATCATCAAATGGATCAGTCGGACCACAAATATCTATCAAGCCCGTCCTCAGCTTCAAGTCCAGTCTCCTCGGCCCTGGAGACACTGTTGGAAACAACATGCACGTAGGCCCCCATGATCTGGCAAGAGAAGCGGGCGTGGAACTAGTCTTGTAATTAACTGTCAAGGTGCTTGCTGATGCCCACGCCCCCGGTCCTCCAGACACATAACAGCAGCTCTGACCTCCCTGCTTTAGGTACTTCTTCTTGTTCAACTGTCTCAAGATACCCGGTAAGTTTCCTTAATAGAAAATTTCATACTTTGTCATCTTATAACTGTTGCTGTTACGACTCATTTCATGAACAATGAGTTCCATGAACATAAGACCCATGCCTGTCCTGTGCCCTACTGTATACCCAATTTTAGTACAGATTTGGTCTCAGTAAGTTTCTTCCATGTCACAAGATTATGACCAAAGTTGATATGGATCTTTGTGAAGGCAACAATAACGCAACTGAAAACATCTGTCCTAGAGACCCTGTATTACTATCACATGGGAAGGTGGCTGCTGTTCTCAGCCAGCACCAGACAGCAGACTCAGTTCCTTGTAACTTAACCTGCAGTGTTTCCCGTGCAGGCCCAAAGTCTCTTCATTGTCAAGAATCATTGAAATTCAACAAGAGGAATTAGATTGGATGTGTGGAAGTGAAAAGGGTTCTTTGAGGAAACCTAATGCCTTCGATATAAGATAGCTTAACATTTATAAACATAGTTATTTCTGTGTTATATCATGTCGAAGAGGGTACGACCAATGTCAATTTAACACATGCTCATGATTAAAAGAAATAATAAAACTACCCACCAGAAACTATCTCAAAGCGCATTTCAAAATCTTGTGAATCTCTGTCGTGGCAGTTTAGTTCGAAGCCATTGACATTTGTCCCAGCAACAACATTGTCAGAAATGACGGCCTTATATAGAGAGGGTGTGCAGACAGGTGCTTCATCATTTTCATCTTCGATGTCTACGGTGACCTGTCAGCCGTTAGAGAGACAGAAACATCGCATCCAAGTCCTGTCACTATTTATACACAAAATCAGAAACAAGCATCTGGGTAGGGACAGATCATTTAGAATTATTAAAAGTCTGGAATTTTGAGTTTGAAAAAATGTTCCTGCAGATTCGGGTTCTAGCTGTGAAAATCAACTATCCAGTTGGCTTATTAATCCTGAGTCAACCGCAACATTTGGTGTGGCCATTAGGGAGAGCTTCAGAAGAACCCGTGGAAACCTCAAAAATTACATAAACGATGAGAAAAGGAAAACTGAAGAATGGTGCTTCTAAAAATTATAATCCCTTGAACCTTTTACATATCTCTGTTTAATGGCAAATATATCCTGAGTTTGCTCTTTGGTAGCTTAAGGGCCTCCCCTGCATCATTCTCTCAAGCACGATACATTTTTTGGTAACAATATGATTACTTCAAAGTATGCTCTGACCTTAATCAGGGGCTGTTATCAAACTTTTCTTAATTAAAATAACATAAACCGGGGAAACTGTGATTTACATGGGAAAAGATCAAAATATCAAGGACTTTTAAATGTCAGTGATCGAATGCCATTCAGATGAGAAAGGTTATCTGCCTGCTCTTAGATGAGTAATAACTTTCTCAACAACATTTGCAGAATAATCCCTGGTGTGCTCATATTTGCAAGTATTATCTCTTTTAAACGTTTTCTGAAATGTTTTACCAACACAGCTAAGTTCTTGGAGGATAATTCATTCTTTAATGCTACTTTTATAGATTGGATACAGCTATCTGTTCTCTTCAATGTGTGAGGTGCCTTCATAAGTTTTAGGGAGACCTGTGATATAATGCAAACAGCACGGGACTTGAAATCAGAAATCTTGATTAAAACTTTGGGCCTTTGCCTTGCCAGATCCTTTATTTGGTCAAGTGACTTGGCCTTGTTCTCATCTGGCAAAAGGAGCTCTCAATCTCTCCCTTCCTAGGATGGCTGGGGGTAAAAATCCATCCAGTTACGAATATTTATTTAACACTTACTATGTGCTAAGCACTGGCCTAGACACAGAAGATACTCTGGTAAACCAAACAAAGAGCCCGCCCTATTGCATTTTATATTCCAAAGAAGGGGGCAAAGCAATAAACAAATTAACAAACGAATATATTAGGTAACGCCCTGTGGAAACTGACCCTCTGCAGGTTAAGGAGACAGAGAATAGCGATGGAAGGGTGTTGGTAGAGTGGTCAGAGGAGGCCTTTCTTTCCTGACTCCCTCTCCACTCCTTCCTCCTCCCCCATGTGTGATATATGCCCCAAGCAAGTATATATCCTCACAGAATATGCCCTGTTTGGCCAGGTGGTTTTAATTTGCACAAATTATATCATGTTGTTTTCTGTTTCCTACTTTTCTCACAAGGCACCGTATTTTCTCGCTTTGTCTGTGTTGCTGCTCAGAAAACTAGCTTCCAGTTTCTTCCCGAGCCTTAGGATCCCATCATATGCGTCTACCGTGGTCACTCGTCCACTCTCTGGGGGTTGCTCCAGAGGTCACCGTCACGCGCAACAGAAGAGACCTGCAGAAGCACGCTTCCTCTGCGCGGAACGTGGTTAGGGTAGAGTGAGGAGTGGGGCAAAGGCCTGGCTGCAGGCGTCCTTGCGCCCTGAAACAACAGGCAGAAGCTCACGCGGCTGCACTGAAGTAAGGGAGAGCTGGAAGCTGATGACCGAGGCAGCAGGGCCCTGCCCACCCAGGGAATGACCCTGGGGCTTGTGCTGAGCCGGAAGCCACTGGAGAGCTTTGCGGGGGAGGAAAACTTGCCTTTGCGGGGCTCGCTCTGGCTACTGCGCGGGGAGTAGAGTGTGAAGGGCCGGAGCGGACGTGGGGCTGCAGCCAAGAGGCCACTGCCCCAGGCTGGCAGGTGCGGGTGACACGGCACAGCCGGGGCCTTAGCGGAGGGCGGGTGAGAGTGGAAGGATTCGGGATCTATTTTGAAAGTAGCGACACTTTATTTAACTTTGCTGATGGATTAGAGAGACAGTTTAGAGTATAGGATAGTGATTAAGGACTCAGAGTTCATCTTTCTACTTCATCATATCTGGGTAAACTTGGATAAGTTACTTAACCTCAAAGCCTTGGAAACGAAAATTCTTCTATCTGTAAAAAGGAGTATTAATAACTGCCTCCTGGGGTGGCATTGAAGACTAAATTAGGCATCATAGTACTTGGCCTTTTTTGGGTCTCACTAAAGGGTGGGTGATATTAACAGTGACGGTGACAATGATGGTGATGGATTTCTAAACTTCGGAGTCTAAAGACTAGCTCCCTTTTCTAAACTTAAAAGTCACATTTATCCATATCATCAATTTACTTGCTATGTGCTGTTCAACTTTTCCTATGCTAAAGATTTTAAGCTCCTTAAGGGTATAGTGTGTTACGCTTTTCTGTAACCCAGGATGTTGTGCTCAAAATAAACATTCAATAAATTTTTGTTAAAGAAAGAAATTTTGTAACTATGTAAGGTGACAGATGTTAACTAGACTTACTGTGGTGATGATTTCACATTTATACAAATATCGAATCATTATGCTGTACACCTGAAACTAAAGTAATGTTGTCAATTGTACTTCATTTTTTTTTCATGTAATATTTTTTAAAAGAAGGAATAAAAAGCTCTTTCTCACCCTGGCCGGGTGGCTCAGTTGGTTGGAGCATCATCTCATACACAAAAAGGTTTCGGGTTCAATTACCAGTCAGGGCACAAGCCTAGGCTGCAGGTTCGTTCCCTAGTCGGGGTGGGGACAGGAGGCAACCGATCGATGTTTCTCCCTCACATCAATGTTTCTCTCTCTCCCTTACTCTTCCTCTAAAAATAAAAAAAAAAAAAACACGTATCCTCAGGTGAGGCTTAAAAAAAGTTCCTTCTCTGTCTTTAGCCAAAATATAAACTCTTTTTATAAGAAGAGAATCACTTGAAGTTGCTTTTTTAATCTGCTTTCCCCTCTTCTCATGTGTATTAAGTAAATGATAATTGCAAGTGGCATCATCCTGTACTATTTGGGGAGTTCATAAATGTCTACAAGAAAAACTGCCGCAGATACCTAAGCTTGGAGATCGCTCTCATAGGTATTTTCCTGAGACATCGAAGCTACATAATCCTGTCCCCATGACTGTAGTTCAGTCCCTGTGAAAGTCATTCTAACTGCTGATGTGTATGGGCCTGAGATTTGCCTCACAACGACAGGAAACCTAATCACCACACGAGCAGCGAGCCAGGGGTTTCTGTACAGTAAGAGGAAATGCACAGTGAATCCTCAGACCAGGTGGGGAGCTTAAAATTCTTCAGTCCTATTTCTGTCTCTTCTCCAGGGACAAAACCTTCTAGTCATTAATAACACAGCCCACATCATCAGCACAGCAGTATTCATGCTTGATATCTTTTAAGGGCCCTTTGATGTTTCTAAAATAATGTAGAAGCCCACACACACTCTCCCCCATTGCGATGCCATAAGAATGCCCCTTGGTTAAGTACCTTCGCTGTGAACATTACCACCCAATGAGAGGCAACCTGGGTTTGAGCCCAGTTCTACAATCCCTGAGTAAATTCAAGTAATTTTCCTAAACTCTGTGCCTGAGTTTCTTCACCTGTAGAGTAGAAATGATAACACTGCCATGAGGACTTAATTCGAAGAGTAACTACATCAACATATAAAATGTGCCAAGAACAAAAGCTCGCACATGATAAATGTTAGATGCATATTTGCAATTACTACAAATTTTTTAATCTCATGAGAATTACTGGTTATTATTTGACCATTTTTCATTATTATTGTATGACCATTTCAACTGTAATAAGTGAGAACTTAATGGGTCGTCTTTATTATATCTAAACCTGAGGCTCTTTACTTACCAGGGTCCTTGCTGTGCGAGGCTGCGATCTGTCACAGTCCACACCTTCCACGGTGAGGTTATACTGACTCACAGTCTCGTAGTCGGGCTGTGTGGTGAGCTCAATCATTCCAGAGACAGGGTGAATCCAGAATCTTTGTATAGCCTGAATGTCTCCACTGGTTATTTTGTACGTGACACAGTTTGGTGGGTGGTCTTCATCAATGGCAGTCACTCTTCCAACTTTGTAGAAAGCTGCCCATAACATTTATTAAGGTTTATTCTTGTCATGCAGATACACACGTTTCAAAAGCTTAACAAGTCTTTGCCTTCCAAATGGTATCACAGTTTCTCAAAGGATCGATCTGAATCCCTTGGACAATGAAATGTGTTGAAAAGCCCAACTCTACATGATGGAAGGTGGATTTACAGACAGTCTTCTTCCACTTTAAACCACGTGGCATAGGTCAAGTGATATGAGTTAACAGTAGCTTCACAATATTAATAATTGCGTACATGTATGGCATGCTCATTTTCTACCAGGCGTTATGCTAAGATTAGCATCAGATAATGGTTGACGGACAATACAGACCCTGGAACCAGGCTGCCTAGGTTCCAAGTCTTAGCTCTGCCACTTACTAGTTGTAACTCAGTGAAAAATTCTATAACCTCCCTGGGCCTCATTTTTTTAAATCTGAAAACAAGGAATAATAACAGTGGCTCTCCTATAGAGTTGTGAGGATTAAGGACGTTAAAATACATAAAGCATTTAGAATAGTGCCTGGGATATAGTAAATGCTGTATCAGAATTATTTACACACCTTATCATTGAATCTTTTCAACAGCCTTATGCTACATGTACTGTCACTGTCCCCATTTTACAGATAAGGAAAATCAGGCTGGTGGTCTTAAGTAACCTGTCCAAGGTCACAAAGCTAGTAATGATAGAGTCGGGATTCAAATCGGTATCTGCTGAATCTACAGGCATTTTTAAAATTATTTTGCTGTGATTTCAGTGTGTAGTCCCCCCACATACTCTTTTAGAAGAAAGATGGTGTGGAATTGGTTGAATTAACAGGCCCATATTCTCTGTCCTTCCCGTCATCACGCTCTCTGTCTTCCCTTGTGATGTGTCTTGGCCAGTGGAACATTAGCAAGCCTGACAAGCAGCGGCCGAGCACTCCTGTGTCCGGCCTGCTTACTCCCGCCCCCCGCCTGTGCCCTGGGAACGTGCTCAGACCAGCCTGTTGGAGGACTGAGGAACCAAGGCATCCGTCGCCCCAGCTGAAGCCAGGCTAGATCAGCAAAAAGCCAGCCAATTGCCACAGTTTTGAGCAACCCCAGCCAAAGCCAGAGAGACAGTTCAGCCAGTTCTCAGACTCATGGGCTAACTAAATGTTTATTGTTTTATTACTCTAATTTGGGGGTGGGGGTACTTCACAGCATACTTGTGGTAATAGATAACAGATATAACAGGCTTATCCCTCAGTCATTTTCTGACTGGATTATAAACTCCAGGCAGATGCCATACCTCCTCCATGTAGAGTACACAATGACAGTGCACAGGACATTCTGGTTGCTGATAACCAAGACTGAAAGATTACAGTGAAGAAACTATCTAATGGTTTAATGGGGACAGCACACCTCACAGGATTCAAACTCACAGGATTTCCTTCAGTTGGCATTTTTCTTTTATAAGGCTCATTGACAAAAAGCTTCTGGAGGGAGGTAGAAAGGAAATCCTGTGAGGTTGAAGGTGTGCTGTCCCCAACAAGTCTCTGATAATGTTATTAAGCAGGCAATGAACACAACTCAAAATACCAAGAACAGAGAAAACACATTTGTGGGGAAAAATAATATTTCATTATAGCAAATCCAGAGTATGGAGAGTCCAACCCAGAGAAGAGTGTTACAACTGATTGACGACCACATGAAGTAGACTAAGGGTAAAATTGCCATCTCTACCCTACAGTTCCGGGCAAAGATGGCATCACTTTTACATTTAACACCTGGTTAAGTGTAATGGAAAGCTCATTCTTCTGTGGATATTAAATTAACCTTCCAATAAAACTGAAAGCTATCTTGAGCATCTTTAGCTAAACTTTGAAATAGAGTAATTATGAAACTCTGCCACTCGCCAGACATCTTATCAAAAACTATTGGAAATGAAATATGTTTTCCCTTGTGACTTGCAACCCAGAGCAATTAAATTTTCATGTATTTTCTTCTAAATCATTACTGTTAAAAGAATTTTTTTGCCTATGCCTACCTCCCTCCAGAAACTATTTGTCAATGAGAGATTTAGTTGCTTATTATATACCGTGAGGTTTTTTTTCACATTAAAGATTATAGATTCTCATCATTTTAACAGGATTAAAAAACCCTCATGTGGTGCTCAAGGCACTCTGAACCCCTGTGCTAATCAACACAGCATGAAAAAGGCTCCACATTAATGGATTGTCTAATGTCCTCCAGGTCTACAGGTTAAATGTTGAATATTCTGAGGAGAGTTTGTTTTCAGAGTAGTTTTAACTTTTTAGTTCCCTCCTTTAAAGTGAATCGTCACTGAGTTGTGATGATTTATCTCCTCTGGTGGATATTGCCTCAAAACACCAGCCTCCCTTAATTTGATCCACCCTTTGTACTCTGGTAGGGGAGACAAGGAATGGCTTCTAAGAAATGCAAGCAAGAAGTTCTGGCACATTGTAGGCACTCAATAAATGCTGGTGGTGATTATTTTATTATTATTATTATTGGCAGTACTGTGTGGCTTTTGTTAGTATGTATCACATAGTTTATATACATATAATCACCAGTTAATGCTCATCTCAGCTACGATAGTTATTGTAATCGCTGTTCCACAAATGAGAACTCAAAGGCACATGGAGGTCATAGGACCTGCCGCAAGTCATTTAACTAACGGTGGCAGAGACAGAATTTGAATGCAGCTCCATGTGGCTCCGACGCTCATGGTTTTTCCGCTGCATCACGCTGCTCCCTATGAAGACCGAGAAGTAGCCAGCCATTCGGAGACTATTACTCACAGAAGAGATTCTCTTATCTCTTCGTGAGAATTCTCTAAACTTGTTTTCAGACTACTGGGGATCTCGGTCATCAAAATCCACCCCAGAAAAGCAGCCAGGAATACAAAACAGAGCTGGACCAGGAATCTGGAAGCCTGTGCTATCCATCATCTCTGCCATTCACCAGCTGTGTGGCCCAATTCTCTCTCCAGCCCCAGCAGGAAAATAAAACGATGAATTTTTTCAGTCCTTCCAAATCAACCATGCTGTAATTGAAAATTCTAAATCCTTCTCGTAAGCCATCAAGAAGGTATTAAATTATGCTGAAGAAAACCCAGATATGTTCAGTACATTTAGAGAGTTCTACCTTCAAAACATAAAATTACATTTCAGGACAGCTTCAGATAGTTGGAAAAGAAACTGACATAAAACTTGATTCCCATAACATGCTATTTTTAAAAAATGCCAGTCTCAAAGGCAAAACTATAAAGATGGTGAAAAGATGTGGGGTTTCCAGAGGTTGAGGAGGAGAGAGGAATGAGTAGGCGAAGCACAGATTTTAGGGCAGTGAAACTATTCCGTATGATGCCATATGGTAGATATGTGTCATTGCACATTTGTTCAAATCCATACAATGTGCACCACCAGTGGGCCCTAATGTAAACTCTAGACTTTGGGGAGTGCTGATGTGTCCGTGTGAGCTCACCAGCTGGAACAGTGGTACCTCCCTGTGGAAGATGATGATGATGGAGGAGGCTGTGCGTATGTGGGGCCAGCAAGTATATGGGGAATCTCTGTACCTTTCTCTCAGTCTTGCTGTAAACCTAAAACTGCTCTAAAAAAATAAAGTCTGTTTAAAAATGTCAGTCTCTATTTTAAAACCTAGTCTGGTTGTTGTGAACTTTGGAGGGTCATGGAAACCCTTCAATAATCTGATGAAGGCTGTAGGTCTTTTCCCTCAGGGACCCTTGAAGCCAATGCTCAGACCCTCTGCTCCATATTTACAATTCATCAGCTGGGTGATAATTAGAAAATTGTGAACTATTTAACTTCTGCATAAAGACTCACCATAAAGCGCCTCTAATAAAACTCCCTAGAGCTAGAACATTACCACAGAACTGGGACAATACAAAGGCAGGAAAGAAGTTAAGGTAAGAGGCTCTATCAATAAAAGATTACTCAGAAATCGATCCTGAGTACTTCTGAAATGACAACAAATCTTCATTGAGGGGCAGCAGGATCCTGTTTAAAGTAATTCAGTTTATACACAATTTTCTTGGAATTACCCGGTCATAAACTAAAAGTTTCAACTATGCTATGTTCCAGAAATAGGACCATAGGTGTGCATTTATTTTACAGAGAGTTTTAAGGATTTGTCCAAAACTGCCTGGTAAGGCCAACAAAGAACTAAAATCCAAATACATGGGATTGTCCTGGCCGGTGTGGCTCAGTAGTTAGAGCATAAGCTCGAGGGCCGAAGCTTTGCAGGTTTGATTTCCAGTCAAGGGCACGTACCCTGCCTGGCTCGATGTCCGGCCCTGGTCAGGGCGCATGAGGGATGCAAGCAATCAGTGTGTCTCTCTCTGTGTCTCCCCCCTCCCTTCCATTCTCTCTAAAAGATCAATGAAAAAAATATACTCTTGTGAAGATTAACAAAAAAATAATAATAATAAGGTACCCAGGAATAAATTCAACCAAGGAGGTAAAAGACCTGTACTTGGAAAACTACAGGACATTGAAGAAAGAACTAGAGGAAGATACAAACAAGCGGAAGCATATACTGTGTTCATGGATTGGAAGAATTAACATCTTAAAATGTCCAGGCTACCCAAAGAAATCTACAGACTCAGTACAATTCCTTTGAAAATACTGATGGCATATTTCACAGATCTAGAACAAAGATTCCAAAAATTTATATGGAACCGAAAAGGACCCCGAAGAGCCTCAGCAATCTTGAGAAAGCACAACAAAGTTGGAGGGATCACACTACCAGATATCAGACTATACTAAAGGCCATTGTAATCAAAACAGCCTGGTAGTGGCACAAGAACAGTGCCAATGGAACAGAACAGAGAGCCCAGAAATAAACCTAAACCTTTATGGTCAGTTAATATTTGACAAAAGAAGCAAGAACATACAATGGAGTCAAGACAGTCTCTTCAATAAATGCTGTTGGGAAAATCGGACAGGTACATGCAAAAAAAAAAATGAAACTAGAGCAACAACTTACACCACACACAACAATAAAACTCAAAATGAAAATGTAAGTCACAAAACCATAAGAATCCTGGAAGAAAACATAGGCAGTAAAGTTTCAGACATTTCACGTAACAAAACGTTCACTGATACATCTCCTAGGGCAAGAGAAGCAAAGGAAAAATAAACAAATGGGAAACTATGGTGATAAATTAGCATTGTGGCCAATGACTTTGAGGTTTTCAAGAAAAAGACATTTAATAATTATCAGTATCTGGTTATCACATTTTTGTTTTAAATCTAGCTATAGATTTAAATTGACATTCTTAATTCTATAATTTCCATTCATGGGAGGAGTAGGCAGTGTTCAGAAGGGAGAAAAGTTAAATTTTTTATTTAACACTATCACATACTTTGGGATAGTGTGTTTTCAACAACTACAAGACTTTTTGATTTTAAGATATTCTGGTTAATGCTGAGTTAAATAATAAGGTTTCAAGTTTGTCAAGTATTTCCTGAATTCCTAATTTTAAAAAAATCTTGTTTATAGTTATCTAATGATTATTGTAATTAGAGGAGAAAGAAATCTTAAATTAATGTCATTCTCAGGCCAGAGGTTAAATGTTAAATAATTCATGTTTTGCAAATATAAGGTCTAAGTATCCAAAAGATCTGCCTCACGCACAGGATATTAAAAAAAAAAGAGTAAGATGAAAGTGAAACAATGTCAGAGCCCCGCCAGGTTAGCAATGACGCAAATGGCTTCTTTGCCAAATTGGATAACAGTTTTTGATTGCCAGAAGAATATTTCCTCAACCTGTTTGTGATAATAATAAGAAAAATGAATTAAGCCCTGATATGTAGTATTTTCCTATTTCCAGGTAAAAATACTCCCACCGTTGCCAATTTTTAGCTGTCAACATAATAATACCAAGTTGGGAAGAGAGACGCAGTAGCAAACCATTATATACACAGAATTTCACCATGCAGACCAAACAGATGTAAATAACCCCAAAGGTATAGATAATAGTAAAATATAGTAACATAATTAAGAAGTGCTGGGTTTTTTGAGTACTTACACATTTTGTTTTTAATATAATTTATGTAACTAAGTTTAATTTTAATTTTAATAACAGTATAATTAGGTTATAAAATTCCTAAAAATTTAATAATTGGCTCCCGTAAGTAGGTATGATTTAACTTCACAAGAGGGGTTTCACCCATCCCTTGAATTACTCAAGCTTTAAGCTTGGAAGGCCCACCGTCCAGAGGTGCTGAGGAAGGGATAAGTTCCTCTCGGATGACAAAAGACACAAGCATTATCTCTACTGTCCCTTCCAAATCTAATGTTCCTTGGTTTATGCTAAAAATATTTTGTAATTTATTTCTAGCTCATGGCTCAGAAAGGACCCAGACCAAGATCTTGACTCTGGACCTGAAATCTGACCTCAGATGTTAACAGAATATAAATTTCATGGACAACAGCCACATTGTCCCTACTGTCTTTACATTGGACCTAATTCAGAGGCAAGAAAGAAGAGAAATGGAATAAAACTGTTATGGTGTCTATTTGTCCATTACAAAAATCTGAGATCTGACATCAGCTTGCAAGGGAGCCTTTGGGAAGCCATCAGGATGATACTCTGAGGTCATTGCCAATGACAATAAGCTCCCTGAAGGCCTAGGGCCCCACGAAGCTCCCTCGCCTGCTTGTGTTTTGTCATCTTTCCATGGGTCACTCATTTGAGATCTAGTAGGAGTTTCCCTGGGTTTCAACACCATGGAAAGGGGATCTCTTACCTCCTGATGTTTCCGGAACGGAGAATGTGTAGTGCGCGGCTTTAAACACAGGGCTGAAATCGTTGGCCGGGGCAATCTGTACAATGATCGTCACAGTTACTGTAAAATTGAACAGTATAAAGGCTTGGTTGTGCTGGTGGTTTTAGTCTACAAACAAGCTAAATGTGCCCCCAAGAACGGGCTTGCTGGAGGATTTTGAAACTTTAATGGGATTCTCTATGGTCCCAAATAATCCCTGTTCCCATGATCTGCATTCTCAAGGAACACAAATGAATTCTAGCCAAAGCAACTAGTCTGAAGATATATAATGTCTGTGTGCCATATTTTATTTTATACAATAGTCATATATGTGTGTATATATCATATAAGCACGTATAAATATATAGTTGCATATTTTACAAAAGGGAGTTTATTGCATTTTTCATGAGTACAATCCCTTCCATTCGAGAGTTTCTTGGGGTGTTACTCTCAACCCAGCATATGACATTCTACATTCTGCTTTTACTGTATGTCCCAGGAGCTGGAATGGAAAGAGACATGGAAAATGCATGTTTGAGGCGTGGCTTTGACATGCTCTATGGCCTTGAACTAGCTTAACTTCTCAGAGGCCCAGTTTCTTCATCATTAAGAAAGAATAGCATCAGTTTCAATCTCCCGCTTCATACCATGTGTGTAAGGGCACAATGAGATCATGCCCAAGAAGGTTTTTTATACACTATCAAAAGTTAAGTAAAAAGTAGTTGATATATTTTACTCATCTCAGCCAGATGTTTGTGTACAGTGTGTCACAGGAAAAAATATTCTGTATTTCAGACCAACAAGTTCAAACTAGTATATCAGAAGGAATTTGATGGTCAAACATAAAAATAAGGAAATTGCAAAGAAGAAACTTTTTGTAATAAAAGTAAAATAATAATTAACATCTACTATGCAAGGAGTTAATAGTAGTTTTTGTCCCCATTTTACAGATGAGGAAACTGAGGTTCTCATGGTTAAATGTTTTGCTAGGTCACACAGCCAGTAAGTTGTGGAGTGGGTATTAGTTGTGTCTGCCAACATCTCCCAAAATAACTTCTTTGAAATGCTTACTATGTCAAATGCAAAATGCTGAGTTAAACAAAGATCAAAAGGTTTCTTTATGGCAAGGCTTCATAGGGTTTCTGATATGTCATTCTGTGTTTTGAATTCCCAGGTATGCTTTGCTATCTACAGTTATTTGGCCATGAAATTTTTCTTTAGTGGATTATCTTGTAGAAACCGTGTTCTGAAGAACACATGTATATTATATCTCCTGAAATCTATGTCACATGTGTCAAACAAGAAAATTTAATCTGGGACCTACAGAACCTTCACTTAAGAGAATCTGTGGCATTCCTTGTATTTTGGTATATATTATTATGTGTATTTTTCTAGGAACGGGGTCTATAGTTTTCATCAGCACCTCAAATGTATCCATAACCACCAAGAAAGGTCAGGAAGAACTGTTCCATGGAGACCGGTGATTTATGTGAAAGCCTCTAGGTTTCCTTCAATAGATCCCAGTTAGTGGTACAAGAGCAAGTGTCGTTTCCAGCTTTGCTATACTATGATCTTTACTGCATCCATAAGACTCATATTTGTGTTAACTACCTGTCCTGTAAAGATAGACTGAGCCACGTGTGGGGTGTTAAAAGCGCCCTTTATGAACAGTTGTTGAGGATATGCCCGTGTGTGAGGATCAGAGAGAATGCGGATTCATTACTGTGAGATTTTTTTCTCTCCGTATTGGAGAAAAGCTCAAATCTGGTGAGAAGAACAGGTTCTTTATTTGATTAATCAGGCCAACAGCATGAGTAGCTACAAGAAAAAGCATTCTTCCTAAAACATCAGTCGGGCTATGTAACAGGCTGATGCATGAAACAGTAAAACTCCACCAGCGGCGAGCAGAGAGAACACAACAGGAACATTTCTGGGCACACTGTCATGTGTCCCTGTCTCCTACACAGCACTTTTCAACATAGTTGGGTTACTTAAGCTTACAAATCACATTTAAAACTTAAATTTAAACTTAAAACTCTTATATCTGTGAGTCAAGAGGGATTTAAAGAACTTCAGATCTGTTGCTTGAAGTTCAGTATTAAGTTCCCTTGCTTGCAAACCTGTAGACAGATGCCATCATTTCACCCTCCTATGTCCATGGCAGTGTACTTCCCCACTGCTTCCAGATGTAACCTCAGAATCCTTCTAAACTCAGTGATCCAGACAAACACCATCAATGGATCAGAGTTGGCACAAGAGATAAAACCCAAATGCCACTCCCATTCTAGGTTCTCCCTTACCAAGCATTGACATTACTAAGCCTGTGCTTGCAACCCCAAAACCCACATCTTCTTGAATATCTTTGATGCCAATTGCCTACTAGATCACTTATTACCATAAGTTCCAGATACACAATAGACCCTTGGCATTGATAGTAGACGTATCCAGAAATTTTTGTGAATCCCTATTTTCACAAATACCTCTACAGCAACAAATTCACTGTTAAAGTGTAGTAATATGTAGTTGAATATGTAAATGACCCCTTGGGGCACTCAATGTGAGTTCCTATTTGTACAGCAATAAGCGGGGAGAAGCAGGTACCAAGTGGTCGTCTGAGCTTACTCGCCAGCTGAGCACCCTGCTCTGGCTCCACAGCACACAAGCATATCTGTGCCTCAGGGCATTCGGCAACAAGCAAAACATGACTGTTAAATCTATACATGTCAAAGGACTATGACAGTGCAATCTGCGTAAATTTAATCTCAATTCACCCAAGGCCCATTCTAGCACAGGTTAGCCCTAAATGGTGCAACAGTTATGAGAAGACCAAGTGGCAGAGAGGGGTGATCATTCTTTGCACTTTCATGAAAGGAATGAGCTGTGGAACTTGGCAAGTATCCCATGGTTTGCATTAGCAATGGCTCTACCTATATCATATAAAATAATTCCAATAAAATACCAAAAAAGCATCCAATAATCTATATGTTTATACTACATGTTACATGTTACCTGGTCTAGGGTATTTTGTTATAGCAGCCCAAATAGACGAAGACACTAGACATAAAGTCATTTAAGTGTCAAGCATAAGGGGTGGGCTCTACACATCCCCTTCCCACTTCCAACACCAAGGATCTCTAGGCAGGGCTGTGTTTAAGAGCCATGTATTGCTGAAGGAGCTTCCAAAAGGTGGAAAAGACTTCCCAGATCTAATGATAACTTCCAACATAAGTCTATTTCATTCCCGTCTTCTTCCTTCGCCTAACATAACAAAACTATCCCAGAAATAATGAATCTTTACATCTTAAAAGCTAAAGTGAAGAGTTTAAAGTAAGTGCCTTACTAAGTGCTCCTTGAAAAATTGATCAAGCTTACCCGTATGGGAGGGACGTGGGTCATCAAACACTGAAATTGTCATTTCATAGATATGTCCAGCTGCAATCATCTCTGGGTCTTCATAATCCATTGCTTTAGCAACCTTTTAGAAAAAAATTATTTCAGGAGAAGGGCTTTACTTTTTTAATGTACATGTTTTAAGTAATAAATCATTCTGGAAAAGGCAAGAGTATGGCCATTTTAATTCAATAAAGATGGCATCAGAATATGCCTGAGACTGGTCAAAGTGTGACAGGCAAAAGGAGGCATTTTGGTAGAACCCAGGGACACCTTTGATCTCCTTCCAGAGCACCTTGTTTTTGGACCAAGCATCCTGGCATAATAGGAAAAAAGCATGGGTCAGATCTGCTTTCAGTGTATGTTAATTTCATGACCTTAGGCAAAATAATTAAAAAGAGAAAATATTTTGAAAGTACTTTGTAATTGATGAAGCACTACAATAAATGTACATTATTCCTGTTATGACAAGTTTCCATTTTTTTAAATCTTCACCTGAGGATGTTTTTATTTTTTTATTGATTTTAGAGAGGAACGAAGAGAGAGAGAGAGAGAGAGAGAGAGAGAGAGAGAAACATCAATGTGAGAGAGACATTGATGGGTTGTCTCCTGTACACCCCTCAATGGGGCATTGAACCCACAACCTAGGTATGTGCCCTGATCGGGAATCGAACCAGCAACATTTTGGTGCATGGGACAATGTTCCAACCAACTGAGCCACCCAGCCAGGGCTACTCATCATTTTAAAAATGTTTATTGAGTACTAATTAAGTTCCAGATATAGTCAAAGGCATTAGGAATATAACCATAAACAATATGATCCCAGAGCAGAAACTTGAAGACAACCTTAATATAATAATAGCATTGGCACGAAGCTCAGTTGGAATGAGTCAATATGACACCAAGTATCCAGGTGTTTGGTAAAAATTACATTTTTAAAAATTCAGTATCTGATTCATACATTTATTCATTTATTCAAGTATATTGAGTATCCAATATGCACCTAGCACTATAGGAGGTGTTAATACACAAAAATGGACCAACAATTAAATAGGCAGTTATAATAAAATCTAATAATTTTTTTAAAAGAATATTTATTGATTTTTAGAGAGAGAGGAAGAGAAAGAGAGAGACATCGATTTGAGCGCATCATCGATGGGCTGCCTCCTTCGCGCCCCCTACAGGGGACAGAGCCCAGAACTCGGGCATGTGCCCTGACCAGGAATGGAACTGGCCACCTCCTGGTGCATGGGACAAAGCGCAACCAACTGAGCCAACCAGCCAGGGCCAGAATCTAATAAATATTTGACAGGAGAAGTAGAACTTATAATGTGAGCTCATATCCAGGAGAACTAAGCCAGTCATGGTAGTAAAAGAACACTTATAGAAATAAGTGACATTTAAGACCTAAAGAATAATTAATAAGAGTGTAGAAATTAATTAGAGGTAGATGATGGGTGGAAAGAATTTTTCATAAATAGTGCAAGCATATGCGACTGCTCAAATGTTAGTTAGCATCATGTTTACAAAACTTCCATCTTTATCCAAACTCCATTTTTTTTGAATGACAGTTTGGCATTGCATTTCAAAATGAACATCACCCCAGGAAATCTCCTGGCTCAGTGCCTAAGCTTCCAAAATACACAACATATGCAAAAACTCAGCCTGTATCTTGTGGCATTTGTCAAGAAAATTTAAGGTTAGGACCAAAAGAGAGGCCATTGGTGGCTTTCTCCGCCATATCTTCTGGCTAAGGGAGAGTGTTTGGTGATGTGTGGGTTAAGGAACAATTGTGCCAACCTAACAGGGATTGGCACTTTGAAATAAAGACCTGTGGAAAGTAAGAGTTAGAAGAAAGGCTTTCTTGTGAGGCAGAATCTCGTCATGGGAAATGGGGGAATCCCACATTTTTTGCCATGTATTGTGTCCATCTTCCACCAATGACAAGTCTCTAGAGGGTAGGAGAGGGAGCTGGGCTATCACTGCCAATGCCAGGAGACTGTCATTAAAACACGCGGAGTCACACGGACCTGTTTCTGAGAGAACCAGCACGCAGTTTTTAGTCTCTGATGCATTTCCCCAGCTAAACAGGAAATTAATTATTTTGTGCTTATTACGAGAAGGACAAAAGGACAGCTGACAGTGAGATAATAAAGGACTTGCCCACGTGCCTTCCAGCAAGACAGCGGAGGAGGCCAGAGCCCCTCTGCTGTGCCAGAGCCCCTCTTGCTGAATCTCCAGCACCCAACCGTGGTCATGAAGTGACTCCAGCTCCCTAGGAAAACTCCCGGGGGATGCAGCAGCTGTGCTCACCTGGATACAATTTTCAGCATCTGGCACTTGCTTGAAGAGCTGCCCAGAGCCGATGGGCCCCGAGCCTGGAGCATAATGTATGGTGTCAGGAGGCTCATCAAGGTCGTGGCACAAGAGTTTTGAAACTACTGTATTATTTGCAATCACTTCTTTGCCTGTGTACCTGTTGTTTTTTTAAGAAGAAAGATCAGTTTAGATGGATAGTCTTTTAAAATGTAATATTTTTCGCATAAACATCCAGCAGTTTGATTGGGGGGGTGTGTGACTGCTCCATTTATCTCGGGCTGAGAGTCCAGGTTTGGAGCATCATCTGGGAAGTCATTTCCCAACAGTCCCTCATTTTCTGGGACTATTTCTTCCCTGCCCCAGCCGGGTTGTCTAGAAGTCTCTCAAGGACATCACAGCAGTGGAGGTGCCCTTGTGGGAACCAGGGAAGTGGGGGTGTTCTTGCCCGGAGCCCGGGCAGGGCAGCGGCCAGGGGGCAGCCCTCAGCATCCTGTAGTCACAGTGGCCTCCCCTCCAGCCCTGCGAGTCGCCCCCCTTCCCTGGGAGCACCGCCCCAGGGCTCACTCGCAAGCCCTCAAAGCCTCAATCTCCTCTCTGCAAAGGCTAGCACAGATCTTGCTCCTTCAGGAGGCGCCCCTGAACCCTCCATTCCCACATGCCTTCCTCTTAATTAAGCACAGCACACGTCACTTAAACCCACCTTGTACTTTATGCTCTTGTCTTATATGTAGTCACCTTGTCACCCTGACAAGATACCACCTCCTGACAGCAACGAGCATAGCAAATACTTGTCACCTCCAGGGACTATAGCCCAAGGTGCAGCCTGTGGGGGGTGTTTCGTAATTAACTATGATATTTTGGGGGAAAGATAAGGGAAAAAAGGATACCTTGTGCTGAGTATGTGCTGAGCCCTAGGCNGGGATACCTTTTGCTGAGTATGTGCTGAGCCCTAGGCTGAACAAACGCCAAGCCTTGTTGCATTTGGTCCTTATGGCGATGCTATGGGGTAGGTGCGATTATCCTCTCCTTTCAAAAGGCAGAGTCACGGGGACCCAAATGAGACCACACGGGTAGCAGTTATCAGAAGCTAGGTGGTGGGGACTAAAGCCTGGGGAACAGAGGCAGCTGTCCTCTGTGTAGCTGAGAGCTTGGGGTGAGGGGGGACACAGAAGAGTGACAGAGAGGTGGGTTTAGGGACTAAGCTTCAAGTAATAAGAGCAGCCATGCTGACAGGAATACAGCCCCAGAATCCCTATCCAAACTCCAAAATCCAAAAGCTCTGAAACTCCGGATTTTCTCAGAACTTACTTGTCATCAAAACCTGACCTGACCTTTAATTGTTAACATCCAAACATCACCTGAACTGTCAGATCTTTCTTTGTCCCACTTACTGTGAGTTTCCATATGTTTTCTGCAGAGTTATTCATGGATTTGAATTGGGGACTTTTGCATAATATATGGTATATATACCATATTACACTCCTAAAATTCAAATAAATCTTTATCTGGAAATATATCCAGTGCCCAGGGTTTCAGAAAAGGGATTATGGGACTGTGATAGACAGACAGCATTTGTGAAACTGACACCATATGCTCAGCACTGTCCTCAAAATGTTACATAAATTATCCCACTTATTCTTCAAAACCAACCTATAGAGTAAGTCCTATTGTTATCCCATTTTATAAAGAAAGAAACTGAAGATCAAAGGATTTAAGTAAATTACCCAAGATCACCAGGATTCCAAACCAGGTCTGTGACCCCAAAACATACACTTTTAATAGCTTACTCTCAGATCCAGGAAACTCAGCTTTCAACAGGTCATTTCCAAGGACCAGAACAGGAGACTGAACAAGGGTCAACGTGACGATTCACTGACGTTTAATTGAGCCAATACCTCTGAGCAATACCTCTGCTCGCCACTCACTGAATTCTTAGCCCAGCCCACGAAGCTCAGCTCACCTGATCAGATACTGATCGCAGAAGGGGGCATTGTCATTAATGCCGCGGACTTGGACCGTCACCGGGATCGCTGCACAGCGCTGCTCACGGTCACAAGCCTTGATGGCGAAGGCCTGAGCACGCGCGAAGCCAGCTCTCTCCACGTCCAGGCGGGCAGCCGTGACCACGGTCCCCTGCTCTGCAAAAAAACAACACAGCTTGCTGCAACCGGCTCGGGCTGTCATTTTCAAAATGACTTCATTACACAGCAATGAGAGAGATAAAGTATGAATTATGCCTTGTTCAGTAGAATTAAGAAACTGATTTAAAGTGTAGGCACGATGTGTAATTGTTTATCAGCAAAATAAGTACATTAATCATAGGTTAGCTGGCAGCAAAAACAAAATTGGTTTTTTGGTTTTGGTTGTTTTGCGTGTGTTTTTACTTAGGAGACCAGGGAAGGCTTTCTAGAGGAGGGCGCTTTTAATTTAGGCCTCGAAGGACATGAAAGATAAGGAAATGGGGGTGAGTGGGAGGAGGTCATTCCCGGCAGAGAGAGCATCATAAGTGAAAACACAGTAACTCACTGGACTCCCAACCAGCCCATCCACCCATTCATTCAGCAAACATTTATGGAATGACAGCCATGGGCCTGGAACTGTGCTGAATGCTGTGTGTACCACAGCGAAGTCCCTGCCTTTATGGAATTTACAGTCTAGGCTGGGAGACGAATCACTAAGCGAGTGTAAAAAAATTCAATAGGCATATTATTAAGGAAATAAAAACCATAATGTGATATACTTAATGTCTAATGGTAAGATTCTGAAAGACGCAAGGACCAAAGTCCGGAGGCGGCAGCTTAGTGTTTTGGCTGCAGTGTAATGGACAAGGAGGAGACAAGAAACACGAACGCGATGGAGAGAGAGACAAGAGACCAGGGTTTGGGGAACGAAGTGAGAAGTCTGAACTGCATTCCAAGTGCAAAGGAAAATCACAGGAGGGTGTTACTTGGAGGAGAAGTATAATCCAATTTGACTTTCCCCCTACATTCATCCTAGTTGGTCTGCTGAGACTAATGGCGGGGTGAGTGTGAAAGCAGACAAGAGATCTGTGCAGTAACTCAGCTAAGAGGGGGGTGGCTGTCTCGAATGGGTCCTTCTCAGAAGCAGGATGGGAGATGAGGATTTCAGTGCCATGGTTTATTTGGGAGGCAACCCGGGGCAGGGTGGCATGGGTGTAGCGAGACAGGGAGGGGAAGGCTGCCAATAAAAAATATATTATCAAGCAAGTTACCCGTGTGGATAACTAGAGCTTGATAGTTCTGGGGAACTCTGGAAGTCAATGCAAAACACACACTCAAAATTGTTCCACGCCAGGGGCTAGGAGCAGGAGCATTTATATACCAATTCTCTTCAGTATCTGACTGAGAGCTTATGGGGTTCCAACACTCTGACCCTGCTATTTGTGGGGCAGGAATGGGGCAGATGTCAGACCCCAAATAATCCCTCAAGCAAAGAAATGCAGATATTGGCAGTTGGGAATCAGGAAATTGAAATGTTAAGGCCTGAGGGTGGGACACCGAGAGCATCAGCTACAATGGCTCCAACCTGCACCTGTGCTAAAGGTGACCAAGGTGACCAAGGTGACCGCCCCCTCTCTGCTCAGCCCAGAAGTCTCATACACCACACCTGCTGACCAACCCCAGCCTCGGCCACAGCGGATTGGCTGCACAGTGAGTGACTGACTCTAAAAGGTCCGATCAGATTCTCTCTCACAAAAACTTGGCCCGAAGGGGAGCCGAATGATTTCGATCTGAGATGAGCCCGAAGGTGGGGGAGCCTGCAGCGCTAAAGCAGTCATTGTGCAGCAGGGGGAAGAACCGCGTGTGAGGTCATCATGGACAAAGAACAGGCCTTGCAGAGGGTATTCAGCAGATATTTATCAAGCATCTACTATGGGCTTCTTGTAGGAGTTCTGCAAATGAAGACAATCCGATTCCTACCCTCCAAAAACTCAGTCTTAGAGAGGAGATCGAATATAAACAAATGATAACGATAATATATAAGAGAGATCATTTGCTGAAAATCGTTCCCAACCTACCTTTGTCAACTGCAAAGTAACCATTCCATGGATCTAGCCCAAAGGTTAAATCTCCCAGATGATCTTCGTCGGTTGCCTGGCATACCCCAATCGTTTTCCCAACTGGGATTTCTTCATCCAGTGTGATGCTGACTTTATTGTGCAGAGTTGACGTTACAGATGAAACACTCAAGACACCATTTTCAATACTGAATAAACTTGTTTGAAAAGGAAAGACTGTTAGGGTGGAGCTTGCTTGGTGTGTGTCCTTTCCTAGCCCTCTGGCAGTGGGGGGGCAGGGGTTAGAGGGGGTCACCATGCCAGCGGAAGCTGACAATGTGAATAGCCAACCCGTTCATTCAGCCCTTGCCTCTCGTTTAGACACAATGCCGAGTACTCTTCACATTTTCCCCCCATTTATTTCTCACAGTCCCAGGAAGCAGATACCATTTTTTCCCCATTTTACAGATGTGGAAACTCAGCTTTTAAGAAAGTAAGTAACTTTCAGAAGTGAATATCCAAGTGGCTGCGATAGGATTTGACCCCAAGCCTAACTGACTCTAGAGAACGTATGTACGCTTAGTCACTGTGCTGTGCTCTCAGCCCCTAGGGTAAGAACCACTATCTTTTTTTTTTTTTATATCTTTATTGATTTCAGAGAGAGGAAAGGAGAGGGAGAGAGAGAGACAGAAACATCAATGATGAGAGAGTCATTGATCGAGCCCACAACCGGGCATGTGCCCTGACCGGGAATCGAACCCCAATCGCCTGGATCCCAGGTCGACGCTCAACCACTGAGCCACGCCCGGCCGGGCAAGAACCACTATCTTAAAATTGCTGACCCCCACTGTGTTTTTATAAACACCTTGGTGATTATTTTAACCAGAATTTCCTTGAAGGCTGTGAGAGGTAATCCATCCCCTTACATATATTACACTAATAACACCTTATTCTGCTGCAATTTCAATACGTTTTATACTTTAAAACTATTTTCTTTGCCCTGGCAGGGTTGCTTAGGTGGTTGGAACATTATCCTGACACCAAAAGATTGCAGGTTCGATTCCCGGTCAGGGCACATACCTAGGTTGCAGGTTTGATCCTGGGTTGGGGAGCATACGTGAGGCAACTAATCGATGTATCTCATATGGATGTTTCTCTCCCTCTGTCTCTCCCTCCCTCTCTCTCTGTCTCTCCCTCCCTCTCTCTTTGTCTCTCCCTCCCTCTCTCTCTCTGGAATCAATAAAAACATCCTCTGGTGAGAGTTTTTAAAAAAATCTATTTTCTTTGCTGTTTTTAAGAAAGCCTTTNCCTGTCTCTCCCTCCCTCTCTCTCTGTCTCTCCCTCCCTCTCTCTCTGTCTCTCCCTCCCTCTCTCTTTGTCTCTCCCTCCCTCTCTCTCTCTGGAATCAATAAAAACATCCTCTGGTGAGAGTTTTTAAAAAAATCTATTTTCTTTGCTGTTTTTAAGAAAGCCTTTCCTGTAGAATCTTACATCTTAAGTGATTATTTACATCTTACTTGTTTATTTTCCTTCTCAGGAAAAAAAGAAAAAAAAGAAAAAAAAGAAAAGAAAATCATTGCATTCTAATGGAAATTTCATTAATGAATTTTAGAGACTACATTTCATATCCAGTTTTCAAGGTCAATTAGAAGACTTTTCTTGTCTTACCTGCAGTTGAGAACTGGGTCTTTATTGTTGACATTGATGAGGAAAATCTTTAGATTCCCAGCAGTGAACAGTCCTCCAGGATCAACCACTTTAATAGCTAGCGAGAAACTGGAAATGCAGCCACAGGAAAGACAGTTAAGATTTTATAGTAACTAACAGGCTTTCACGGAAACAGAACCTCTGGGGCTTAACTGACCAGTTAAAACAATTGATTCATTTAGTTAAACTGTCAGTCAAACCAGTTATTTTAACAGTTGGAAATGATTTCATTAGGAACCAAATTAGTCAAATCTGTTGAAAGGAAATTAGAAAGGCCTTTAATCCCCATCAATAATTTAAAAAAGCACAGTAGATGGCTTAGCCTGGAAGAATAAACAAAGCTATAGCTATGGGCTCTTACCCTTACACACCGACCTTTCAATACTGAAAACTGATGACAAATGCGAAAGAGAAGGAATGAGAGCACTTCCCACCAACGCAATGACAATGGGGACATGTTGGGAGGGTTAGATGACAAAAGGGTTTTATTTTAGCAGAGATGTGCCTGGGTTCAAGGAGAGTGCTTAAAATGGGGGGAAAATATATCCTCTTGGAAAGATGACTGTGTCCATAAACGATGATCCAGACAGTAGTCCCAATCTGCCGGGACTGTCTTGTTCTAGCCCTGACAGTCCCCCGCACATCCCGGGACACTTCCCAGTCCCAGGCAAACTGGGATAGTTGGTCATAGAAAAAAAAAAAAAATCTATTTTACCTTGAAATGTACTGATAAATGAGACCAAAATTCCTCTTTTCCTTCTATTTAGACTAAAAATTGAACAAGTTCTCAATTTTCCTCTTATTTTATAACTTTTTCTACCAGAAGATACTGTTGAGATAACTTCACAAAAATCATAAAGCCAGTTCACTTTTAAGAATAAAGACATTGCCCTGGCTGGGGGCTCAGTTGGTTAGAGCGTTGTCCTCATACACTAAGGTTGTGGGTTCGATTCCCAGTCAGGACACATGCAAGAATCAACCAATGGATGCATGAATAAGTGGAACAATGAATCGATATTTCTCTCTCTCAGAAAAAGAATAAAGACATTTTAAAAATAATTCTGGGACACCTAAACTACAAGAATGGACAGAATGAGAAATGAGGTGTGGACAGGATTCCACAGCCCCAAAGACCTCAAATTACATTTAGGCTCGCTGGATGCTGGAGAGCTGACTGCAAGGGAGTCAGGAAGGAGTGAGCCCTTCTAAGTCTTGCACCAGCATTTGAACAACCAATTTCATGGCCCCGGTATCTCCTTTGAAGGGAAGGAATTGATAAGAATCAACGAGGCGTTCCCAAATGTCCTTTATTCCCACTTAAAGGTCTGCTCAGTGACCCTAGAAACTCTAGAGTTACGGAGAAAATTAAGGAATGGGGTTCTCTCTGGAGAACTTCAGTGAGAATCCGTTACAAAACTTTAGCCAAATAATTATTTTTTAAAGTTCTACAAACAGAGCTTCAATTTTTGTGTCAGCTCCTCTGATTTCAAAGATATTGAAAAAAGGAAAAGTTTAGTTTTCACTTATCAAGGAAAAAATTAATTTTTAAAACTCTTGTTAATGACTCTCACTCCCATTTGTTCACAAATCTCAAGCGTTATAAGTTGGAATGCACATAAACGTTTTCCCATGAGGTCCACCAGCCAAAATCAAAGGGCACCGTGATGGGCATTAGCCACTGTTCCCAGGGCTATTAATGAACCCGACTGGACAGGCAGAGGAACTGGGGAGGCGGGGAAAACGGGTGAAGATTTTCACAATTGTTCTACCCTCAGAACATATAAAGATAGTGCCACTTTAGGAGGCCTGTCCTCCAGCACACTTTATGAAGTCAGCAGGGGAAAACACATGTCATTTTTCAACTCCCAACCTATTTTCCTAAAGATGCTAACGCAGGATGTACACCATCCTCAACTTTCACAGCCGGGAAGATCCCCTTGTGAGATTCAGGAGCAAGGCTGTTGGGAGGCCTTAGCGGTCCATTTGCTTTCCTTCAAAGCGCTTGGGTGTGGAACATATAACTGAAAAGGGTGGTAATAAAAACCATTGTAAAAATAGCAATAATAACTACAAACCAAGGGCAACCCACCTGGCAGATGCGGAGGGAAAAAGGAGGAAGCCTCAGCCAAGTCAGAGGGGCCAAAATAGCGACACCCAGGCCCGAAAGCAGCCACTGTGCCACTATAGTTGGGCGATGATTCCCAGGCTAAGGCAGTGCCAGCAGACCTCCATCGGGGGGCCCGTGAGGCCGCATTGGGGGAACATCCCCGCAGACAGAAATAGGAACCAGGGGACAGACACTTGGAGTGGGCGAGAAGCCAGCAGCAGCGCTTACCTTCTAGCTTCCCTCTCGAAATCAAAAGCTGCTGTTGTAGAAATTGTTCCGAGGCTGTCGATTGTGAAGCCAGAGCCCTCTGGGGAAAGGAAGTACTGTTTATGGGACAGTGAAAAAAAAAGGCAAGATGTTACAGAGACGCCCGCCGACGGGTCCCCTAGCTGGATGGCGCACCCCAAGGACCAGCCTCACTCCCTCGGTGCTCTGGGCCCCCCCTCCCGACCCCAGGTATGGCAGACGCTCAGTCACATTTGCCAGCAGCGATGGTGATGACATTGTGCTCCATTCAACTGCCTTCGGGCCAGACAACCCCCCCTAAACATTGCAAATGAATTTCCTAATCTCTTACACTCAGTATGTTATCTGAACGTTTCTCACAACGCTCCACTCAAAGCTAAAATTAAATGAAAAGGAGATGCATTTAGAGAAACAAGCTGACTGTATAGTGAGAACTCAGAAATTATTCTGTTTGGTGGATCTGAAGATACCCTTTTTCCTGGAGGGGTGGTGTTGAGGGACAGGGAGTCATAGAGGGGAAACTAAAATCCTGGGGCAGCTGTTCAACTCATTTTCTGTGGGACAGGCAAGGGCAATCCTTTCTCAAGTTGTTTTTCTTAACGTCCCATTGACTTCCCTTCGTACTCTCTTCTAGTTAGTCCATTAAATGCTTCAAATACATTGTCTTTTCATTGTCACTACAACCCTGTCACAGGTGCTGATGTTATCCCTATTTCACAGATAGGAACACTGAGGCTTAGAGGATTCAAGTGGCTTGCCCCAGTCTGAGAGCTGAGCTCTCAGTCGCTTCGCATAATGCCTCTCTGCTCACCGCACTGCATCCCTGCCAAAGAGGGAAGGTGAGGTCAAGGTTTCCAGATTCGGCGAGAGTCCAATGATGAGAAAAAGCCGAGGCAAAAATCCATGAGAGGATTAATATCAGGAGTTAATTATACTGAGTGCTACTGACTTAATAATTGTGTAGACCCAGAGATAATTTAATAGAGAGGATTAAACACAGAAGGTTTGCAAAGCAACCTTAAAAATTGTTTGGAGAAATTAGTGACCTTTTAATTTATCGATTTTCTGATGAATCATCATGTCCTGATTAATTTAAATTCGTACCATCCATTTCTACACATATAAATAAGATGGAATTGAGTTCTGCTTTTTTTTCTTCTTTAATTTTTCTTATAGATTTTAGAAAGAGAAGAAGGGGGAGAAACATTGATCTGTTGCCTCCCGTAGGCACCCCAACCAGGAATCGAACCCACAACCTGGGTATGTGCCCTGTTCAGGAATCAAACCTATGACCCTTCGGTGTACAGGAGGATGCTCCAACCAACTGAGCCCCACTGGCCAGGGCGATTTTGTTTTTTTTGTAAAACAATGCTGTAGAATATTAACATACAGAACTGCAGGAAAATTCATCACATATTTACTGTTCAGGCACACACAGGACTCATGACGCCTGTTTCTCGGCTCACAAGAACTAGGTCTGGTTATATATAAATGCATATAACTTTTTTAAAGTCACCCTCATTTATGTTCAGAGTCACTCAAAAATTTGCAGTTCCCAATTCCATTTCAATATTACACGTTGTCAGCAATTGCTTGGAAAAAACATATATTGGGAAGCTGTATTTTTATGATGTTTAATTTTTCATATATTGAGATAGTCTTTTTTTTAAAAAAAAATTGATGGCGCTGATATGCGCAACGGCTGCCTGCCTTGTTCCAGGAAGGTTGGAGCCGGCGGTTGCTAGGCAGCCAGGGCCATCGCCGGGAAAGCCACCGAAATGAAGGGTCCCCTGAACAGGAAGGCAGTCCAAGGGACGACACATTAACTCCGTGGGGCCAGGCAACTCAAATTCACTCCCCGTTCCCAATTTATCTGCAATAACAGCATCGACTGGTGAGGAAATAGAAGAATAGCAATGGCGGCCCCGTTCCCGGGTGACAACAGCTTCCAGAAGAGACTGCGTGGTAAGGGAGCCCTCGCTCCTGGATGGACTTAACTTCAAAACCCAGTTTCTCTGAAAGGCTTGTTCTTGACTATTTGCTCTCAGAGAAGCTCAGGAATCGGAAATGTCAGAGCTCAAACTGCAGGCCAAACACAGTGAGGAGAGCTGGGGCCTCAGTGCTGCAAGAGCAGGGACACGGGACCCCCACGGGGCTCTCTGTGTCCTTAGCATCAGTGACAATAAAAACAACTGTGATGGCTTCCAGTGACTCTGACCCAGAGTCTGTGCTCGGCACCTTCCTGAATTATCTCATTTAACCCTTACAATGATGCCATGAGGTTGTATTCTTCTCAGCCCCATCTTACAGGTGGGGAAACTGAGGCTTACAAATGTTAAGGAAATGGTCCAAGAACACAGAACCAGTGAGTGGTTATGCTGAAACCCAAACCCAGGTCTTTCTTTGTTTCGCTAAAAGCATCCCAGAGAAGAACGACAGTCCTATTCAGTATGAATTGCCGTGCTATTTCCCAGGATATGTTTTCAGGCATATTTCAAAATAATGAAATAAATCCTCCAAAAAACAGATATTTTATTTATAATTTCTTTCTTAGTGGCATAAAAATGTCGTTTTAAACTTGAATAGCAGAGCACAGTGTCCTTTGTCAGGGCTAGTCACTGCCGAATCTTCATTTGCCTTGTATGAATAGACTTAAATTATCCATTCTTTTCACATATCCTTTAAATAATTACATTTTGATGCGCATATTTTGTAAGATAATGGACTTTACCTATGAAAAACATTCCCGGGATGTATACATTTGCAATTTCTAAGGCAAGAAAATAATAATGTATCCTGAGATTGTTCAGTGTTACTGCTTGTTACAAGGTGATTTCCCAGTAGCCTGACTTTGGGCTACAGGACGAACTTGCACGCCACCTGCTGGACGAGGGTGCAAGTTGTGCAAAGATGAAGTAAATATTCCCCAGAAATATTTATTTAAAATCTGACTGGTTTTCTCTAAACATCTGCTTTTCGTGTGAAGAGTTAAAGATTATTTTCTAGGTAATTAAAGCTTTTCTTAAAATCAGATTTTCCCCAATTGTACAGCATTTCAAACAAAATTGTTCTTTAGCTTGAATAACCCAGATAATTGCCTCAGTTCTCAAATCCATTTGGCTGGTACGTGCCTAAACTGAGTGATATTTCTCCACATACCAGAACTGTCAAAAATGTAATAATGTGATTCAAACTTTCCCCCTCTTTATCTTGGTGTCACAAGAGATGAAATTTTAAGGTGATGTTAGGGTTGAAAACCAAGCCATGGGGGGGCGGGGGGCAACTCAGAAATAAATCTTTTGGATAAATACCCAAAAGAGATTGTAGTTCTATTTTTAGTTTTCTGATGAACCTCCATACTGTTTTCCATAGCAGCTGCACCATTATGCATTCCTATCAATAATGCTCAAGGTGTCCAATTTCTTGACATCCTTGCCAGCACTTGCTGTTTTTGTTTTTGTCGTGTTGTGTTGTTTGTTTTATAATAGCCATCTTGACAAGTGTGAGGTGATATTTATTGTAGGTTTGAGTTGCATTTCCCTGACAGTAGTGACATTGAGCATGATTCCATATACCTTTTGGCCACTGGCATCTCTTCTTTGGAGAAGTGTCTATTCAAGTCCTTCATCCATTTTTCAATCGGGTTATTAGGGTTTTTGCTATTGAGTTGTAGGAGTTCTTCATATAACTTCTTTTTTTTTTTAACATGTTTTGATTAATTTCAGAAAGAGGAAGGGAGAGGGAGAGATGGAAACATCAATGATGAGAGAGAATCATCAATCGGCTGCCTCCTGCACGCCCCCCACTGGGGATCGAGCCCACAACCCAGGCCAGAGCCCTGACTGGGAATTGAACCATGATCTCCAGGTTCATAGGTCGATGCTCAACCATTGAGCCATGCCCACCAGGCTAGAGTAACTTATTATCAATATTTGATAGTTTGCTAATATTTTTATATCATTCTGTAGGTTGCNCGCCCACCAGGCTATCAATATTTGATAGTTTGCTAATATTTTTATATCATTCTGTAGGTTGCCTTTTCACCATATTGATTGTTTCTTTAGCTGTGCAGAAGATTTTTAGTTTGAGGTAGTTCCACTTGTCTATTTTTTCTTTTGTTGCCTATATTTTTAGTATTATGTCCATGAAATCAAAGGCCAATGCCGTGAAGCTTTTCCCCTATGTTTACTTTTAGGAGTTTTACAGTTTCGGGTCTTATATTTAGGTCTTTAATCCATTTAGAGTTGATTTTTATGTCTGGTGTAAGATAAGGGTCCAGTTTCATTCTTTTGCATGTGAATATCCAGTTTTCCAGCACCATTTATTCACCAGACTATTCTTCCCCCATCATGTATTCTTGGTACCTTTGTCAAATATCAGTTGACTATACATTTATGGATATATTTATGTGCTCTCTAGTCTGTTCTTTTGGTCTGTATTTTGGTCTTTATTCCAGTACCATGTTGTTTTGATTTTCTTTTTAATGAATTTTAAAATCAGGAAGCGTGATGCTTCCAGCTTTGTCTTTTCCTCTCAAGACTGTTTTTGGCTATTCAAGGCCTATTGTGGTTTCATATGAATTTTAGAATTAATTTTTCTATTTCTGTTTAAAAATGCCATTGGGAATTTGAAAGGGGTTGCATTGAATCTGTAGAATTGAAATTGGAATCTTGAAAATATATTAGCCCTCCCAAATCACAGCACTATTCACACTAGAGTAATGTAGAAACAACCTAAATGTCCATCGACAGATGAATAAAGGACATGTGACATATAAATACAGTGGAATATTAAACCTTTAAAGGAGGAAATCCTGCAATATGCAACAAAATGGGTGACCCTTAAGGGCATATGCTAAGTGAAATAAGCAGTTACAAAAGAACAAATACTGCGTAATTCCACTTACACAGGAATCTGAAACAGCTGAGCTCATAGGTGCAGAGAATAAAGTGGCAGTTGCCAGGGGCAGACAGGAGGGGGAAATGGGGAGTTGCTACGAAAGGGTTTAAAGCTTCAGGAATATGGGATGAGTGTGTTCTGGAGATCTGCTGTACAACTCTATGCTTATAGCTAATGA